TTTTCCGATACTCAACAATACTGCAGGCTGCGAAAAATCCCATGTCCGCACGTCTTTGACGAGTGTAAACTTGTGGAGGACAAGTAAAATGTTTACCTCGCTTGTCCGCATGGACGAGTAAAAATTTCCAGTAGATTTTTCCCTAAAATTAATGAAATCTAGCAAGGTCTAGTTCCTTTCAGTTCTATGATTATGGAGGCTGCCATATTTGTTTATATTAGTTATTTATATTAGTTTCATATATCACAGTTGATAAATTTCTTTATAATATATATATATCAATATTTCGGACAAGTGGTATTCAGAAGAGGACGAGTGGAAAGTCAGGTGTACTTGTCCTCCTGGACAAGTGAAAAAAAAAAGATTTTTTGCAGCCTGTACTGTACCCAGACTTTCTGTTGGAAGATGACAGATTTGTGCGGGTGAAAAGGGCGAAGAGTGGAGTCAGCTTATTGCCTCCTGAAAGGGGAAGTGCCAGAGAGTATTCATCTCTGGACCGGGGTACAGGAGGGTGGCACCATATGTGGAGCCGCCAGTCGTGCCTCAAGTGTTGCCGATGGGGCCAAAAGTCATGAACCTGTCAGCAGGATACTTGATGCAGGTTCTGCAGTAGAAAGCATGACTCCAAGATCTGCTGAGCCAGAATTGAAAAGTGGGAAAGGGTTAAGCTTTGCTGCTGGAACTGCAGAGGCCCCACTGATCTCAAAATAAGGACTGGATCGAGCTTCTATTGTTGAAGAACTGAAGGCCGCAAGATTTTTGGCAGCCATCTTGAGTCGTTCCCACTTTGTTAAGGGAATTGGTGGAATGTGCTGTTTGGCAGCAAACTTCAAAGAAAACTTGGTGCATTTGACAGCCCTTTTCAGATTTGTATTTCACTTTGCAGTCTATAGGAATCATACTTAAGTTTATTTTATGTTGTTTTAAGATTATTTTATTTTTCAACGCATTTTCTCATAGTGAATATTTCAGAGTTGAATTTAATGGGAAGAAAAGCTCCAGGAGGGACAGATAGGCCTATAGACTAGACAAAGTTTTAACTAACTTTAAAGCTACTTACAAATGAAAAGTCCGGGGAAACTGCCTTTTTGTAAGTGATTCCTCGTCGCTACTGCCTTCACTGTTACTTCTCTCGTCCTTTTCCTTTCGCTTTTGAGGACGACTCAAAATGGCGCTGGTTAAAAGTCGCGGGCTTCAGAAAATGAGAGCCGCAAACAATAGGAAGCTCGATCCAGTCCTTATTTTAAGATCAGTGGGAGGCCCCCACAATGGGTCTCTTCACTTCAGCAGAGAGTTTTCCCATCAATTTTCATATGAAATACTCATGCATTATATGTTTTACTGTAAGCAAAAACATATCTTTATGAATTTGAAGGTATTTATTAATCCCCTCCTGACGGGTGACGCCAATAGGTGTGAAAACAAACTGCTTGAAAGCTGGCATGCGGCGGCACGCCAAAGCGCAGCGAACCAGTGATTCGGGCTGATGTACCGAACTTACGCGCTCAAAGCCAGCGCGCCGCCATTGTTTGCCAGAGTGTAGAGTTTTTTTACCATTTTCTTCACCCGTCACCATTGGGTTAATCACAGTATTTAGCAGAAGGCAATGTCACAGCCCAGGCACTTCAACTTTTATTAATCATGTTTGTTTCCTATAAATATGTATTTATGTGTGTAATGTTAGTACATTTGATTAGAAAAAGTACATCTTCATACATTTGAAGGTATTATCGAATCTGAAATAAATTGATGAGTGCAAATGTACGATGTAGAATGAAGAATTGAATGGCGTTGGTGCCACATATTCACTTATATTATTTGATGTTTGTCAGGTTTTTAAAAAAATTACTGTGTTCATGACTACATTAGTTTAATAACTAATTACACATTATATATGCTATTTTGAGTAATATGAAAGTATGAATTTTATCTATTTATTTGTTGATATTTTTATATGTGGCAACACACCAACCGGAGACACTTTTAGTCTGAGAGTTGTCTCAAAACTGTCTGAGAACTTTCATGGATACAGCTCCAGGATCAGTCACTTGGGCATACTGTTATCCATGGTGATTGGGTTAAAGTCCTATGGTTTACTCTCACCTTAAGGCCTAATGGCTTGTGTGGGGATGGGGGGATTGAGGGATCCAAAAGCGCAATATTTTTTGGTCCAGTGCTAAAAACTTCTGAGTGACAGTCCTGTGTTTGTTGTTATTTCTTTATAATTTGTTCTCCTTCATCATTCCACATATAGCTGTAGTCTGAGCTTCACTCAGCAGCTCTCTTGGCTCCTTGAAGGATAGAAATGAAGCAAAAGGTAAAATGGGTGGCAATGTAAATGAGGCGCTAATCGGGGCACTAAGTAAACAAAGTACTGATATGGTAATGGATGTACGTCCACAAGCCAGGAAAATTAATTCTACAGGAATCAAACCGACACAGGAGAGTTGAGAGATACCACCATTTCTGAAATTTGCAGTGGTTGAAGGTGTGGCAATTT